ATTTCAGGAAACATCTCCACACTCTAGGAATTGTCAATGACAAGCAGGAGTGTCGACTTTGTAACCAGTCCGATGAGACTGCAAAACACAATATTCTGGACTGCGATGGACTAAGGGCTAGGAGAAGGTCTCTGTTTGGTCTAAAGCAGCCAGGTGAGGAACCAGACGCTATCATTGGGCAAAAGCTCCTGCACCTAGTTAGGGACACAGGCATAGGCTTACCCAGTTAGTGGCAAGCGGGATGCACAATAAGCTTCGGTTGACGTGCTTGGACCATGAGTCCACCCTCTTACAATCAATCAAGATGAAGGCATAAAGCATGTATGTCAATGTTTTATTCGAAGATTTGGTAAGTTTTTCTCATATCAGCCTACACAAGATTTAAAATTAATCAAAACCAAAATGGTGGTATCCACTACTTACCAGATTTAAAAGTCATATAACTTAAACGTTTCTATTAAGGCTACAAAAGTTGAATTTTGTTTCTAAAAGCGTTGGCGGAATTTTGTTTCTAAAAGCGTTGGCGGATGTGTAACTATTATATGCAACAGATGTAAAGATTAAAATGTTTCTATTTTGTGTCCTCTTCCCGTTGCAAAGCACGGACACACGTACAACAGCTAGTGTTAAGTAAAATTGTTTGATATTGCCTTTAATAGTTTTGATGTGAACATCACATTATCATTCTTCCTGTTATACTAATGGTTAATCTTTTGACAGTTCTCCATAAGAGAAAGTCAGTTAAAATATTTTTTTTACGAGGAACTTTTGAGAATATATTAATTAACAATCTGACACATACTTTCTCCAATTAGCTTGTTAACATCCTATCATGGGTAAGCAAAGGGTCCCACATACTATTTAAGTGGGAGTAAGTATGATATTTTATGGGGAAAATCACAAAAGTTGCAATTACTTTTTAACCGTAATTTTAACAGCAATGGGGTTGTACCATTTTTTTTGTTAATTAAAGGGCTATAACATACTAAATTTTATTTAAAATTATCTGGGCAATTTAAAAAAAAAAAATCAGTTTTATCAGGGGTTTTTTTTTTTTGGGGGGGGAATCACCATTGAAAACAATAATTTAAATAAACACATTTTATGTTATGTTATACCTGAACTACCATAGGTTTAGTACAAGGCCCCACTAAAAAAACAGGCCATGCCGCAGGATCACACTTGTGGAAGGTTCCCTGCCATCCCTTATCTTATCTTACTAATATTATAAATTAACCCAAGAAAATTAGGAAAAATAGAGGAACAAATCTATGTATTCCCAATTTTTTCAAAAATGTGTCGGGGAGGGTCCCCTAATGAATATATGATAGGTGAGAATAAAATCACCCTGCCGCTCTCTGGTGGTGGGAGGTGTAAATGCCCCAATTTGCGGTTTTTTGCTTATAACTTGAAAACGGCGTGTTGTAGCTTGAATTGTTCAACGTAAAAGTTAAAGCTTATTAAATTTGCTACAGCTTTGATCATATACATTATAAGTGAAAGACGCATAGTTTCTGAGATTTCCGCGTAAAAAAAAATATAATGTCCGAAAAAAGATTTTCACCTCACATTTTTCGTTAAAATCTTATTTTTTCTCCTTCCTTGTTATTTTTCAGAAATATTGACGGAAAGAAGGTTGTAGAGAATTAAATTCACTTCAATAATATATACAAATATGTAAATAGATAAGATGTAGGTAAAAGTTACAGCGTGTTTAAGATTAAAGAGTAAATCGTGATTTACACAAATAATTACCAAGGCTTGTTTTTTTTCATTGCATGATTTGTATGGTTTCTTATAATTATTTAGGCCAAACATAAGTATATTTAAGATATAAAATGGTACGATAAGAAATGTAAACCTCTCCTGTTAGGGGAATCAACATTAGTTTAATAGTGCTAATAGTTACCTGAAAATATGGTTTGTAACCTGTTTACTGTTTAAAAGGGGAGGAGGGAAAATGCGAATAATGAAAATGATTCTGTAAACTAGAACCAAAATTCAAATCACAACAGTTTTATTTATACCAACAGTTACCGAAACAAAGATTTAATACTATAATATCCATGGTCTGGCTCCTTTTGGACGAGAGGGTCCATCTTCTGTCTCTCAACCTAGTGTCATGTGGAACTGATAATCACTATCAAGGACATCTCCATCATCAAATTTTTGGTTAGACTACATATCTGCTAATCTTTAGTACATTTACAAAAATCAAGTACGAAATTTTCCGTGGGGCAGTTGTATAAAGCAAGAGAACTTTCTTTCCGACAAGAAAACGAGACTAGGCTCTGTACAATGTTCGATGATGGGGAAGAAGACAATGAAAAAGAATGAGATCAATCTTTATCATAACATGAATTTGTGATGTATTTCTCAGTGGCAAGAACTATAATTAAATATGAATTTATTTTGTATGTTTTAACGTGGATCATTGTAATAAATAGACCTTTATATTTTGTCAAATTGTTATTTACATAACTATTACCAATTTTTACCTTAAATATACTTATGTTTGGCCTAAATGATTATAAGAAACCATACAAATCATGCAATGAAAAAAAAAACAAGACTTGGTAATTATTTGTGTAAATTACGATTTACTCTTTAATCTTAAACACGCTGTAACTTTTACCTACATCTTATCTATTTACATATTTGTATATATTATTGAAGTAAATTTAATTCTCTACAACCTTCCTTTCCGTTAATATTTCTGAAAATAACAAGGAAGGAGGAAAAATTTGAGGTGAAAATCTTTTTTCAAACATTATATTTTTTTGACCGCGGATATCTCAGAAACTATGCGTCTTTCACTAATAATGTATATGATCAAAGTTGTAGCAAATTTAATAAGCTTTAACTTTTACATTGAACAATTTAAGCTACAACACGCCGTTTTCAAGTTATAAACAAAAAACCGCAAATTGGGCCATTTACACCTCCCACCACCAGAGAGCGGGAGGGTGATTTTATTCTCACCTATCATATATTCATTAGGGGACCCTCCCCGACACATTTTTGAAAAAATTGGGAATACATAGATTTCTTCCTCTATCTTTCCTAATTTGAACTTATTTGCTTGAACTAAATGTGAAAGTTTGTGTGTATGTTTGTTTGTTTATTTGTTTGTTTGTTTGTTTGAAGTTCAAGCTTTAACTACTGGTCGTATTGGGCTGAAATTTGGTATGATGATAGTTCACATTCCCGATTAACATATAGACATAGTCGTATCTCAAAAATCATTTCGGGCTCTGCCCCAGTGGCTCTGGAGTTTCTCATGTTTACCTTATGAGTATTCATATTAAAGGGGATTAAAGAACTTTGTCAGCTGTCTCAATTGCACAAGTTGTTCTATGATTTTCAATATTATTAAAAGTTATAAGGTTCACCAACAGGGTGCAGCACTATTAATTTTTAGTGCATTTCCTATATAGGGAATAAGCTATTTTTCATTTATGACAAGATAGCTAATTTGAACTAAGCCGCAACAAAAAGCTGTGATGCACAATGAAAACTGTTTACAGTTTGAGCTGTGATTGTTTACAGTTAAGTTTATGTTTTTGTTTTTAATTTATTAATAATGTTTTGATATTGTGTGAATACTCAATAATTTACTTTTTTTGTTTAGGTGTAGTGGAATATGGAATAACATTATGGCTATGGTATATGTGTTATCCTATAGCTTCCGTAAATTAAAAGAACCAAATTTTCTCAAACCACGTCCTCTTCCATTGCACACACAAAGCATGAGTATAACTGCAAACTTCCACCCCGTACGAAGGACGGGTATTCTGCTACTGTTTTATGTAAATAAGCTGGCAGTTTATATCTGGCAACTTTAGTACAAAACTACCCACCACTGTAACGTAGTGTTGCGCTGACCGCGCTGCAGCATGGCCTGTTTTTCTAGTGGGACCTTGGTTGGTTAGTACCCACATACCAAATTTCATTAAAATCAGGGGAACCCAAAATCAAACTTAAAAATGTTGACGAAAACCATACATTCTCCATCAACTATTGTATAGGGGAAGAAAGTAAAAATTGCTAACCTGCCTTTACCAATCATAAAATAACTTCTTGATCAGCATTGCATGGGTTATTAAATTTACGGAAAGTAAATAAAAGAAACGTCTTATAACACTTAAAACATATATTTACGCTTATACTGTTACTCACAAGATTGTAAATATTCATAAAAGATGGTAAGTGGTGATCGATTTAGATTGGACACTCCAATCATCATCAGACCCAATAGGCGAATGACATTGTTCATTCAGTCTAGATTTGCTTATCTCATCCAGCCCTACCATGGACAAAATACAAGTGAACTCCGCATGTGCACACCAGATCTGACAGATGATAATTCAAACTCTTAACCTCTCCTTACTGGATAGAAAACCACTTGCACCAACCTCAACCTAACTGTCTACCACATTAACTTAGCTGGTCAACATGAAGCCCCATCATGGTAGTTCTAACTTCCACGTGCAGCACATATCTAGGTTTTAGCAATTTTTGTTGCAAAAAACCCATGTCGTGTTGACAGTTGTAAGTGGAAGTTCCACTATTTTTTCTTGGTCGCCGATATATTGGCCTTTGTTATAAGGGTTTAAGTATTTCAAATCTGCTAATTTTATAGAGGCAAATTAAAAGGTACAGAGGAAATTCAATGGTACACTAGTGGTGCCTAACACTAATTGCTGGTGTCTAGTTTTGCTGTGAACATTTTGCAGTATCTTCTTCTTATACTAATGGAAAACTTTTTGATGAAGTTCTCTGTGAGAGAAAGAAAAGTCCAGCACCGCCCCCTCATCATAATGTACCACTACGCTCATGGTGCTCGCCCTCATCATCATGTACCACTACGCTCACGGTGCTGGTCGTATATTTCCGACACAACATTCTACTGCTGAAAGTGCACGGTCGTCCCACAAGCAAGTTTTCTCTGAACCTCATTTCTCTGTGTTAACACTAAAGGGTAAGACAGGATAATAAAATTCTATAAAAATTTGATCAACTTATTATTTAAAGATACTCTAAAATATATATAATCGCTAATAACAAAATAACGTTTAAGATACTATACAAAATATTACATCAAAACCTGTTATTTTGAAGGTATAAAAGAGGATTACACATTTTGGACAATCGTCACACTACGCACCATCAACAATACACAGTATTGTACACTGACAACTCAGGATCGTAGCCTTGCACCATAGACTTTATGGTAAAATCATAACACATAAAGTAGTGGGTCATTTCTATAGAATTAGTAAACAAAAATCAGTAAAAACTGAATTTCTTTCCACCGCAACAATTTGTTTTAGTTTGTTATTGTATTACATGAAAGCCTTGTGCAATTTACAATTTTCGGGTTAAAAATATGTAGTTTATTTACAACTTAGACTACGCTATACACATTTAGTTCCTCGTGTGGTAAACTAATCACGCCTCTTCACTCTAAGTTTCATCGGTTTGAGAACTGACTGGACGTTACAACTTACAAGATGACATACATACATACACAAACCACAGCATACAATGGAGTGAAGGGGAAGCATACGATACATGGTATCAGATCCATAGGATTAACATTTTTATTTTGTTTTACAAATCATAACATTTAGTATACATTTAAATACACAACGGAATATCTCTCTTCAATATGAAGACTTTGACTCCAACACTAGATAATCCAAAGGAATTAAAGCGATTTTCTAATTGGGTCAAATAATTTTGTATAGTTTGACTAATTTGAGTTTTTTCATGCAATATGTGGTTGTAAAAACAACTTACTAAAATAATTAAGTTAATTGTGAATTTTAATTTCACCATATTTACTAGCTGCCCCGCAAAACTTTTATTATGAAGTTTAACAGCATAAGAATAGATTGATTTTGATAGAATTATACAAAAAATCTAAATTGAGGTTATTTATTTTATATATTTTTATTGTACAAATTATTGTTATAAAATAACCATTAATTCTGCACACCCTGTCGGACGAATTTAAAGAAAAATTAAATGTTAAGCCATTTATATTTCTAAAAGAAAATGATTAACAAATTAACTAGTGTTGGGGTATTATTACTTATAACATTTCTAATATACAATTATATACAGCTAGAATGATTTCTGATCCATTTTCAAAAATTTGATCACACATCAAAAGGCAAAAAGTAGAACTTATAGTAAAGAGACTAATTCAACATAATCTTTTAATATAATCCTTAGACAATAAAAAAAAGTTCTAATATAAAATTGAAAATAATAATTGAAATTTTTAGTGAACCTAACATTATTGTCACCTATAAAATTAAAACTAAATCAAATTCTTTTGTAATATTAATCAAACCCAAGGAGTTTAATAATACACATAATAAATGTAATAAATAATGTGTTGTGCTGAACACATTTAAGATATTTTAAAATTGTTTCCAAAGATGACGATTAATTTATTACCGACAAGATAAAAACTTATTTCTTATCGCTAAAGTCCTCTTTTCCTTCTCCCAGCTCTTTTTAATATAATTCCAGTATTACTCTTGCATGTTCAAGGAAATATCAATGGCTACCCAGCAAAAACTATTTTGTTAGACTTCTTATGCAGAGGTTAGTAGAAAACGGATTAATTTGAAGCAAATCTATTATTTATATCGATATTCATTCTGTAAAACTATTAAACTGCTAATTCTAATTCTAAGTAATCTCATCCCATTTTATGGACTGTTTATGGCAATTTTCTACGTACCAAGCATGACTTTTGAACATAACAGACATAACCAGTATCTGTGGAAAACATTAACAACTTCAATGAAAGTAACAATGCTACTTTCATGAGCTATTACTTCCAATCTGGGAATATAAAGAGTTAGTCCTCCTTGTTGATATTCTAGACACAATTTACTAAAATTTTCAATACTATACCTTGATGGGAAAATATTGAAAGTAGACAAATTCAAGTTGAAACGCACAACGAAAAAAAATAATGTCAATATTCTCATGTGTTATATTCTTGGAAATATTTCACAATTATATAAGTTTTTTGTAGGTGAAATCTTTAATAAGCCTAATATTTAAAAGTAAAGCCAAGAGGGTGGATTTGAACTATTTTGGAAAGGGATAGTATTCAGTTGGCTTACCTGAGATAAATACAGAGAAAAAGTGTTTTTGTAAGATTAAATACATAACTTTAACATTTCATCCTAACATACAACTTCTTCATAGAGTAGATTGAAGAGCCAGTTAAAATTTAAAGTAAAATTCAAATTTAAAGGATTTATAATTTTGTATCACTAACTGGACACTAATTTTTTCAGCTAAGCTAGCTAAACTTTAACCCTTTAACAAAATTTTGTTAAATTAATAAAATCTTCAAAAAATTTGGAAAAAATCTTTTAGAAAAAAAAAAAAAATATGAATTAATAGTAAGGTTCTTAACTGTATAGACTTCAAACACCACCACTGTAACATCTATTCACTGCAAAATAACTATGATAAATCTACTAAATTACGGTTTTGGAGGAAACATTGACAATATTGCTGCGCAAATTTTCTGAGGATTTGTTTCGTTCGGGTAATATCGTAGAGCTGCCTGCACTTGTTCCTCGGGGAAAATAGAGGACAGATGATACACAAGTCTTTGTCTGGCTTCGTCGAAACTCGGGGTGAGCGGATGGAATGTCGGATGAGCAGTGGTTGGAGGAGGGATGGTCCAGGAGGGTAGTACAGGAGGAGGAGTAGAGAGGTTGAGTTGAGGATCGGAGGCGGAGGATAGCGGACGAGGACACAACTGTACACTAGGATGTGAGGGGGGAGCAGAGGCGATGCGAGTTACATGTTGGTGTGTGGAGTACGAAGGTGGCTCACAACTCATCACTCTAGTAACCGCCTGGTGTTGATGTTGCCTTTGAATATGGTACAGTCGAGGATCACAACTAGGGTTGAGCGTCAGTTGTCTCTGCAACTTGCGATGGAGGTTTTCCCCCTCCTCGGGCCACGGACCCCACATAGAGGGCGGGGGTGTAGCGTAGCTCGGCGGGGCTCGGAAACAACCTTCTAAACTTTCCATACTTGAGCTCGGCAGCATTGTAGGTTCGGTTGTCACAGCTGATTTGGTTCTTGAAAGAGGCGTTTTCTTTACTGTCTTCACAGTTCCTTCGCTAGATTGTAATGGAAGACTGAGAGATTTTCCCTTCAATTGGTTTCCTGCAGGAGAATAAAAAGTGTTAAAATTTATGTAACATATATTATTCACCTATGTATTTATTCAATGCTAACAAACTAAGGTTGAAGATGAGCAAAGGATGATGAGTATTGAAAGTATTAGATGATATCTTTGTTGCTGACTAAGATCAGCTGGTACCTTAGTCAGGATCATTTATTTTGCCTTTAACCCGATGACAAAGGATAAATTAGTCCATGAAAAAAACTGCTGACTTTCCACAGATTTGAACCGGCGACCTTCAAACTATATGCCTACTTTAGATTTTCACACAAATTATAAAATCATTTCAAGGTACAAAAGTTGGCCAACTTGACAGAAATCAGTAAATGACATTAGAGCACTCTGTCAGTGGCTTAATTCAATAACATTTATTTTTATTATAAAACTGGCAACAGGTTTAACTTGGGAATGAGATGTCTACTTACTTTGATCTACTTACTATAATATTAACTAAGCCATTAGAAGTTCTACACTGCATTGAAAATAATTATCTAAAACATTTTAATCACATATACAGGGCCGTACTCAGACCGGTTTTTCCGGACAATTTTACCGGGTCCTGCTAAAGCTGCCCGTACAGCTCTGCACATATACCATTATTCTTAAAAATGTTAAAGCATAGGCAAAACAATTTTAATAATGTCAATCTGTTCATCAATACCTGGACTGGAGTCTCTGCCACGTGCCTGCAGGTGTCTTTGGGCATTCTCCGCGAGGCGTTCCGTCACCGACTTATGCGGCAGCGGCCCTCGCTCAGGATGGTAGAACTTACACTTGTTGCCGTACGTACACTTCTTGCCATAGGGACAAGGTGGTGGTGGGTCACCTCTGCGAGGCTCCTTGCGAAGGAACTTGTCCAGCGTTGGACCTGCTCTTCCCAGCGGATCATCAGGAGGCATGAACCTACAACATTGTAACGTTTAAAGTAAAGCCAGGCTGGTTATGCATTTATGGAGGGGTTAGGTTCAGCTAGGTTACCTGGGAAAATCTAGAGTCCAGGGTTGAAATACTGGGACTTAAGGTTATACTGGTGGCTTGATTAAAATTGGACTATGGATAGAACTAGACATTTTATTCCCGTGTAAAACTTTTCTTCAGTTAAAGGATAAAAGTAAACATAGTTAAACTGAGCAACAAGCCGACTATACTGATGTAAATTAATAATTTCTGTCAAATAACATCAACTATTCAACCAAGCCAAAGTAAGTGTCAACTTATTGCAAACTTGCTTCTTTTATGACGCAAATTATCACAGTAACAGAAATAAGAAGGAATTAAAATTCTTTGCAGTACTATACTTTATGAATGGTTCATTCAACTACATTATTAGACTACCCAGCTTATAGATAAAAAAAAAAAACTAATTCAGTATCCGAAAAGTTCTAAGTTTGAGATTTGTGTCTTGAATCAATAATAAGCAAGTAACTGTATTCATGTTAGATTTAAAGTGCCACATAATTCTATTTCATACCACTGCATGAAAATTATCACATTTCCACACCTGGTACAGTACGCAAAATACTAAATAGCTCATTTCAACTCTAGAGCAGGAATGACTATTGCCGCTCGCTAAATCAGCCTTCACAGTTGGCTATAAAACACTAACAACCAGTATGCAAATAACATAACCTAAAATAAGCAAAATTGATCTAAACGACCTTTTATACTGTATACAGCTAAAAAATAATTCTGCGGGTTATGTTAATTAAGGCTGTAGGAGAAATCTTGTGTGTATTACGAGAATACTCTTGAAATGTATGGCCGCACTCGGCTATTGTGTGGCCATCTACAGTTCTCGAGCGGTAATGGCGTACTTTGCACTTTTAACACACAAATAGCTACTCTGTTATCTCACCCAGTCGCAAAGCACAGGTGTTTGGAACTCACCTGTCATTGACAAAAGAATACATGAGCAGTCTCTCCTCTATCACCTTCCTGTACTCAGGGTTCTCTGGGATGAGATCCCTGTAGTTGTCGTTGGATACGACGATTCCATCCACCTCAGCGGCCAGTTTTAAGATGTATCGGTCGTCATAGCACTGAATGCGCTTACCGTTGCAATGCCTCGAAGGTGTGAACACTAAAATCTTCTCTCTTTCCAATTCATTTAGAATTTCTTGATCTGAAACAAAACATCCTTATCCTTAGTATATTTTTACTTCTTGTGTGTGTTTAAATGAAAATGAGGGTTTTTTCAAAAGGAAGAGTTTAATTGGAAGCTTAATGATAAAATAGAGTCCAGGGGATCCTAGTAAACAAAAAAGCGAAATGAACCTAAATGACCTTTTATATACAGCTTAAAAATTATCGTGCGGGTTATGTTAATTAAGGTGGTAGGAGAAGTCTTGTGTGTATTACGAGCACGAACAGTCATTGCTGCTCTTGAAATGTCCAGAGGCTGATAGTAAACAAAAAAGGTGGATTATTTGTAAATTTCCAATCTAAGTTATTAAGTTGCCTGTTTTATTTTCCATCTAGTAGCCCTTGGATCCTAATTTTCTCATTAAAGCTAAACTGAACTTATGTACACTTATACTTATGCTTATACTTATACTTGACTTATACTTATGTTAGGATCCAAGGCCTACTAGATGGAAAATAAAACAGGCAACTTAATAACTAGATTGGAAATTTACAAATAATCCACCTTTTTTGTTTACTATCAGCCCCTGGACATTTCAAGAGCAGCAATGACTGTTCGTGCTCGTAAGACACACAAGACTTCTCCTACCACTTGTTATCGAGGTTCCACTGTATTACGAACTAACTGGTATGAAATATTAATATGATTGGCAAGTTATGAGGTGGTGATTTTGTAGTATAACATCAATAATCTAAAGCCAGAGTATTCTATAACGTTTTAGGAAATAAATTATTGACAGAATGGTACAATCGAAAACCAATTTCAAAAACAACCACAACAGTAAAATATTGATAAGATAGAGTGTTTGTATTTTTATTTAACTTATCTTTTAAACTAGCTCATTTTCATTTTTAACCATTACCTAAATATACTCGTCACTACGAAAAAGTTAATCATTGGATCAGAATGCGGTTCAGTGCAATATGCATAGTAGGAGTTACACTGTGTAAATGTTTGAAAAAGCCTTAATGTACTGCATGGCACAAGAGGAATTGGAACTCAAAGATTCAAACAAGACTGTTGAAACACTTGGATTTGCGGTTTATCTGTATTTTACCACAGCCATACTGATTTTATATTGCAATGGATGAGAGTGTTTAGACACAGTGTGTCTGACACTGACCTGTGATAGGACTGTCCGGTCTAGAAGACTCTTTTCTCCACAACGGCACAAACACGGTGATGTCCTTGTGTCCCCTCGCTCTGAACCAGTCCACACAGATCTTGATACCTCGGCAGGAGAACACTACCTTGTTGCCGTGACTGAAACCAACAAACATTACTGTCAGTAACATTACTTGTCACTAGTTGCAGATGACATTTTCAAACACTTCATTCCAGGAATAATTTTAACTCTATTTGAATAGTTTTGTTAATTAAAATTAAAACATAAAAAATACGACCAATGGTTCAACACTGATCATTTTATTTATTTATAATGGGAAGACATTGCAACGACCAGATAAAGTCTTTCTGTGATAGGCGTATTAATTTATCTGCATTGTACTCTTTCTCATATGTTTTGTGTTATAATGTGCAAGTTGTATGTGTAAACCAGTAGGAATTCCAACTCTGGTCTGTAGTAGCATTAACTTTGATATAGTAGGGTTTAAGGTAGACATTATATCTATATTGAATAACTGTTGCCAATATTTTTTTCACATATAGAACATAGTTCAATAACTCACAGACTGTGCTGCCATAAAAATTTGATTTTGCCCTTTAGTTGTAGATACTTTTGTATTTGATGTTTCATTATTTATGCCATAGTTTACAAAGTTTTTTTATAGATTTGTCTTAATTAACAACTTTCTGTATTTGAGAGAAATCAGTAATTGATTTTAGTGCACTTTTGGATCAACTATGTCCATTTTCAATTTAAAACTGGTTACAGCTTTAATTTGAAAACAGAATCTTTACTTATCAGTCAATAGTAGTATGGTACCTCATAGCCACATTGCTGCCGTCTATGATGACGTGTCTCAACCTGCATGCCGCCTCACTATCAACAAGTTCGGGCACGTCATCTTCCAGACCGTCCGTACTCGACTCAGAGCCGAGCCGAGGCGGAGTCTGGGCCCCTAGCTTGATCAGTTCCTGTAAACAACAAAATATAAGATATATTTGTCTTTCAAAAATGTTTACCGTACTAGGATTTCAAAAATATAACCGTTCAACAAAAAGGAAACTATTCTACTGCTTTTGACCGATTAACAACCTTTCTCACTTTAGATGGAGGTAAGAGACAGTATTAGGATTAAATTTACCTTAAATTCGCTTACCTGTTTTGACAAGGATGAACAGTCAGTCCCAACACCAATGAAGGGTTGGGGTGGGACTGACTGTCCAGCGTTTGTCTGGAAAGGTAGGTAAAACTACAATGTGTTTAAGAGCACCTAAGGTAGATGTGTTGAACAGGTTAGGTTTAAACCCAGACTCTAAATAACACAGAGAATATTCCTTAAAAGTCTGTTACGAAAACCAATGTTGTTAACTGAGAAAATAAAATTGGTTTGTGAATCTGGCATATCAAAGTTCATTAAAAAAAATGTACAGTTCATGTTTTTAAACGTTAACGTTTTGCATTATGCGATTGGTTGAGTTCTCACGTTTACATGCTTTTCAAGTGTTGGACAACCAGTCCTAGTTTTATCTAAGATTATTTCGGGGACCATGAGTCCAGCAAAGGCAAAAAAATTACGACTTGTCCCCTTGCCAACTAGACCCTGGAACTGCTCGTCCTGCAATCCTTACTTATATGAATATATGCCAATCTGAAGAGTCTACGTACAAAACTTCCTCTTGCTACTTTCACTCAAAAGAAATCTCAGCTTAATCATTCAATCACTACTCAAAAATGTCTAGAATCTAACAAAAACATCAAAAGCTATTACAACACAATACTCACAGCGAGAAGGTCATTCTGGCCCGGGTTGGGGCCGAGTTTCTGCAGCGCCGCTTGCACGTGTCGCTCCGTGTAGCCGAGCTTGAGGCCGAACTCCACCTTGGCCAGGTAACCCTGCGGTGGTAGCGACACGTATTCTGCGAACTCTGCACCCAGCGTGTCCGAGGCGGTGCGAGACACGTCGTGGTGTCGCGGAGTATCATTCTCCTGGTCACTGTCATAGCTGGAGTCCTCGTCGCCATCGTCCCCCTCGCCGTCGCCATCACACAGCGAGTCCACGTAACTCTGCAACATAATTTTTGATATACATCTGCCACAAACTAAATTAAAAAGTGCTATATCAGTTTGTTAAAAATAGTTATGTTACTTTTTAAGGTTTGGCTACAATAAAAAGGAAAGGTTGAGCCATTACAATGTAAGGAAACGACTTGGACAAATTCTGGTGCTGTACACTAGACGGGACACAGAAAGGAGCCCGCTAAGAGACATATTTTGGGAGTTGTTAATTGGAAACTTTTGTGCCACCTGAACAAGCATTGTGAATGTCAGACAGTTCCTGTTCGTGCTTTTTTTTTTCAGTGCAACGCAAGAACCTCTAATTAAAAGCTGGATGGCAAAAACACATAAAATGAAACGCCACTGTAAGAAATGATGGAACTTTTGACTATTCACCAGATTCTGTTAAGTGACAAGTGACTTGTCGTTCCGCCATGTGTCGTGTTCCCTCTAGAGTATTTCCATCTCTGTCTGTTGTAACTCAATATTTACAGTCTTAACCCCTCATAGCGTAATACTTCATCAATTGTTTAGTGTTTTTGATTAGTGTGTCTGATCAGTCTGCGACGATATTTTCTGCACTGGAAAAAAAAATATTAAAAGTGCAGTGCAGTCGCAACCGTTTGCCGGGATAGCTCAGCCTACAATGGCTGGGTAAAATTCCAGGGTCTGCGATAAGGTCAGGGAAACCACTAGGCCCAAAAGCCGGGTCTAACCGGTATAGGACTGGCTCATACACGGGCACTGTGAACAAGTCAAAAACAAGTCACCAAAACAAACGTGCAATAATCACTACCAGGCCTACGCCGATTCTCCACACTCCTAGGGGGTCGTTGCTGACTACGCAACTCGGGCTTCGTCCTAACTATCCAATAGTTAAGCCCAGAGTGCCTAAAACACAGTGAGTTGCACGACGACTTGCCAAAAAAAACCACAACGCGCGTTATCACCAGGCGGGGTCTACTAGGCCACTATAATCCAATACACAACTCTAATGCCCAAGCTAAGAATCAAACAGTTCACTCAATAATCGTACCACATAATAATATACAAGTACACTATAGGTAGAGTGACTACACCACTAGTAGCTGGTCTCAATAAATACCAAGCAAAACTAAATGGCAATTGCACTATTAAAATATTGAGCTACTTAGTAGCAGATAAATAAATATTAAATACGTTCCAAACACTAGATAAATATATTATCTGATAGCCGGTACTCCGCTATCCAAGCTACCAAGCTAACGTGTTGGATTACTAAGCAAGCTGTTCAGGTTAAATTAAAATAATTAAATGATTAATCAATACCAACCCTACTGCTACTACTACTATATCAACGTTATATTGCTTAGCTGGGCTTCTGTTAATAGGCTAATAATATTAGCTAGAGATATAAAGTCAATGCTACTAGCCTACTGGCCACGTGTTTCCAACTACGCACGCTAAATCGTGCAGCCTAGGTTTGTCGGGCCTCAGAGTTATTAGTAATATAACTAACTCTAGGTACAACGCAAAATAATATCCACTACAGTCAATTAAATTATATTATTTGCGCTCTAGCACCTGCCCAGAACCGTCAGGAATACACTTTAATATTATTCCTGACTAATATAAATCCTAACTACCGTCAGGCTTTGACCAGCACGGTTACAACTCTAACCCTCACAATAAAACCAGATATTAATATTATCAAACGAATAATATCAAGTCGTCCACTCACCACAAGTGGGTCAGTACCCAACTTACACCAACACTCGGCGCGATCACACCACCAGCATACTCCGACACCACTGTCACGTACACCACTGGACGTCTCACTAGACACACGCTAACTCTTCACTGCACGGGATCCACGACTAGAATGTCCGTCCTAGGCTATCCTGAGAAACTAGGATATCCCAGGCTTATCGGCACTGATAAGCCGGGTCAAAGGGCGCTCGCTAGCTTCGCCGCCGCTGCTTGCTGATGCCAGCAATAGGTGCGCGGCCAAAAAGCAAATATTTACCCCCCTAGGAAAATTAACTCGTTACATCCCCCACTTACATCGGGATGAAAAAAAAAGAAAACGGCCTAAAGAAAAAAAAAATTTTTGAACTCCGGCCAAAACAAAATACTCAAGCCCCTAACCCAATGGTGAATCCTACACCACAGGTCTCGAACTCAAAATAAAGAAAATCTTCTACTTGCCACTACCAGCCAACATGGTGCTGGAGGATTTAGCATCAGAAACCAGACAGGGATTTCCATTGCAAGGGCCTTCGGGGTCTTCGTCACCAATTTTGACACTGTCTATGCGGCCACCTTGGCCAGAACAGTCATCACCCACGCCCATTCTTACTACCTCTGTCCCACATGTCACCAATCCGAGGTCTCGGATGACATCCATACCCAGAATCATGTCTGTGGTGAGAGTGGGGACGTACAAGGCATCTCCTATCCACCGTCTTCCCGCAGCTTCTCCTTCTAGCCGAAACGAATACTCGGCCGTTGACTGTGTCCCCTCTGCCATCCTCAGAGGAGCGATTTGCTTACACGGCTCTACACCCTGGTGCTGAAGATGGTTGGCGACTCCTCGCCCAACCAAGCTAACTACGGAGCCAGTGTCCAATAATGCCTTAAAAACGCTGCCCATCAGCACAACTTCAACAAAGGGTCTTGTCTCTGAAATCAGCCGGTTCTCGTCTACTCCACCAACCAGGCTGTTTAGTTTTCCGAGCCACTCGGACCACTCTTCTGAGGTCGTTAGTTTTGTGTGGCCTTGCCCAGTTGACCTCCTGATGTCTGAGCTGGCCTGCCGTTTCCCGCCCGACATCCACACTGACTCACCGTCAAACCAGGTTTGCCACACCCATAACAGGAGACGGTCCTTGGCTTACCACATTCTCGGGCAAAGTGACCAATCTCCTGGCACCTAAAACATTTCACCGTCCCCTTTGGACCCTCAGCTGTTGTAACGGGCCGTTGACCGTGGACCCGATTCAACTTCGAAGCCACCCGCCCAAGCGACTCAGCTTCCGGAGATGATCTCTCGAAACTCCGCTTCTCGACTGTGGCAGTTTCGGCGCGCTTCTCCACCTTCTTTTTGGGTGCGTAGGCGGTTTCCAAAACCAGCGCTACGTTTGGAGAAGGAGGAGGTCGGAAGGCCGCCTTCTCTCGCAGATAGGCCTCGTAGTCTTCGGCTAACTCAACCATCTCGGCCAGATTGCGGAAGTCCCGCCGTCGCACCATGAGTTTGTACTCAGGTCGCATGTTGTTGTAGATCAAGTCCAATCTACCATGCTCTGACAACGTACCGCTACGCCTAAGCAAGGTACTTATGGCAACAACGTAGTCCCGGAAGTGCTCGCCTTCACCCTGTGTCCTTTTCCGGATCTCCTCATCCAAGTTCCTCCAATATCCTGGAGGGAAGAACTGGATTTCAAACTGACGCCGGAAAGCTTCAAAGGAATACAGGAGCTCCTTGCAATTCCTGTACCATAGAAGCGCTGAGCCTTGCAACAGCTCCGGCAGCGCTCTGATCAGGTCCTCCGACGATATAGCGTACGAGACCATCAGCTCTTCAAGACGCTCCAGGAATGACACAGGGTCTCTACGTCCATCAAACCTTAAACCCCACTTCCGTACCGTGTTACATATCTTGGAGCAGTCCTTCCGCTCCACCCTGCTGGCCTCATTCGAGAGCATATCCGAGCCTCGTGGCACCTCCAAGCTAGAAGGACGGACTGGTCTCTCTGAATAATCGTTAGGTCGCTGCCATCCCTCGGGTCTACTTGGTAACCCAAAGGTAGGCGTGGGAGCAGCCACAACAGGGGACGTAGGGTTGGCGGGTCTTTCGAACCCATAGCCGACCTCATTACTCGGCGAGCCTCTCGCCTGTCGCACCACCAATGCCAGATGTTCTCTAAGAGTCCGGGTATCGGTCTCCGAAGACAACCCAAGGATCTCTTTAATCGCCTCTAACTCCCTGCCAAGTCCCACTATTTCTATTTGGCCCGATGCAATACTACCCAGTACCTGAGGTACGGTTCTCGGGGGGTCAGGAAGCTCCACAGTCGTAGTAGCGGGCGGTAAATATGTCGGTGCAGCAGCCCCAGCTGTACACAGCCTATCATCGCTGTACCGACGGGCATTCCGCTGCTTCCAAAACGACGAAAATCTCTGCCGTAATTCCGCAGAAGTCCCAGTGGTCACCAAACCATACTGGTCCATCGTTCTCATGAGCTCCCCTTTCGAGAGGTCATAGATCCAACCCACGCGACCGTCCCGGGGCTGCGACCCCAAGGACATACCCAAGCGACCGTCCCGGGGCTGCGACCCCAAGGACATAGTCGCTGGCGCGGAATAGGTCAACGAAGTTGTCACCGTCGTAGCCACTACCGAAGAAATTGTCGGCCAAACGGGCGAAGACGCCGGCCACAATGACGATGTCGTCATCACCGACAGTTCGGAGCTAACCCCAGAACTAGTCGTAGCAATAGCAGACGTAATAGGCGTACCGCCCAGCACAGACGTCGTACTCGTAGTGACAACCATATTTAAAACTCAAATACCACGACTAATCCGCAAAAATAAGAGCGAAACCGATTAAAATCTATTTAACACCGTACTATTAAATCAAACCAATTATAGGTGTGAAAGTCAAACCACAAATGCACAGTAAGGGTTCTCACTCAAATAATATTCAATGATAAAGCTCAATTAATTAGCAAAATAATAAATCAAACCAATTATGGGTGTGAAAGTCAAACCACAAATACACAATAAGGGTTCTCACTCAAATAATATTCAATGATAAAGCTCAATTAATTAGCAAAATTTAAATTACTAACTAATATCTATGTATACAACCACTAAATAAATTAGGGTTCACAACACACCACACTGTAACAGAAAACAGGTTAGGCCTACCCAACCGACTATAAAATCACAGCAGGTCTGCCTAAAACTCTGCTCGACAGCTCAGGTCCGCAGCCAATCTGCACAAGTCCGCAGCAAATCTGCACAAATAA